TACAATTCTATTTACATGTCCATTTTTTATTGGTACCTACACCATTGTTTTTTTAAATCTATTTAATTTTCTATATACCTGTTAAGTGAAAGCTAACCCACTTTGGAAGAAAGAATACTTGACATTGAAAATTGTGGACATTATTTAGTTGGACTTTATTTTTGTAATTTTGTAATTTTCACCTGGTTCAACCTGTGTTTTTTTTTAAGGTGATACAAACCTCAGTAGCTTCCACACTATACCAACCTAAACAACACAAAGTTAATTATATGTAAGGTTGATTATTCTTCCTATGGTATCAGCTGTCTTTTGGTGATGGTGTATTTGGAGGCGATGGAGAGGTCTTCTCTGCTGTGATGGTGGCAAGAACTATGGAGTCTTCTGTATCTTGACACACTCCTTATTGAACACATTGCTGCTGGAAATGCTGGCTGGATGGACGTGCCACAGATGCTTGTAGGTATGGAGGTACTGGAGATGTAAGAGGCTGATGCCACTGGAAGAGCAAATCTTTTGGTGATGGCAAAATGAATAGTGAGAAAGGCTCATTTAAGAAAGCAGACTCCTCTTCTGTTTTCCACTTAGCACATGCATGAATTGTCCAGTGAGCTGCATACCAGCATACTGTTATCATGTATTTAGAGATGCCATGATGGATTATATTGGGCCAGGAGTCAACTGGTGGTGCTTCCTTTCTGAAAGATGCTTCTGTGCATGTTGGTTGCTGCACTCAATCCTACAAAAGCCCCTGAGGCTTGTTTTTAAAAAGCAAAAAAACAAAACAAAACAAAAAAGTCAAGATAGGAACTAGAGCTGTGTGGAGGTGAATATATATGTTTAGTAGAGTAACTACTTTAAATGTTAAAACTAAAAACTAGAGAAACAATGCTAACTGTGCATTAAAATGACTCATTATAAAGAGAAAACAGTAAAGTAATTCTTGAAAAAAAGACCATTACTTTTTAAACAAAGGCCACTTGTTCTATTTGAACTCATTCTATGGTTTACAATTAGCTGATACTTGAAGAAATTCCTGACACACAAGTCATTCTGCCAGTAATATTGTTTCAGAACGATAAATTTTATGTTACACGAAATTATCAGAACTTATATGCTTTTCTCTGGCAGCCAGATGTACATAGAACCTATTTTGCTAGTCATACGATAGATGAACAGATAGATGGATAGAACAAAGGAGTATTCATGAATAAATATTCAGTTTTAATAACACAATTAACCATTAATTGCCTGTTTGCTTAGCAACAATATGCATAATACAGGATGGAAATTAATTGTGGGGAAAAAAAATCTTAAATAGTTTTTCATTGTCATGGTTATTCACTAAAGTCTGAATTAACACTGGAAAATATAGACATTGTTCAAAACGGGCCTGAGTTTGGTCAGGATTTCAGCCAACCATCACCAGACAACTGAAATATGCACCCAAAAGCTTCAAATCCCAGGCCAGATGCTTCAAATCTAGTGCAGTGCTAGCAGCCAGCAGGCAAATAGTTAAATAACTCTAGGCAATGCAAGGGCTAATTATGCGGTAGCAATAAAGTGGATTTAAAACATTCCTATGCCCCCACCTGCCATGGAGAAAGTGTGGATATATCTGCTAAATGTTCAAAACGAATAAGGAGGTAACATAGTTCCCCTAGTGACCCCACCCATGGACATCAGGAGGAGGTCTTTAAAAATAGTGGGGTTGATCACTGTCTATCCACCTGCACTTTCCGGTGTCCAGCGAGTGAGGGCTATTTAATTAACAAACAAAAAAAGCTAAATAATGTCCTCTCCCAGTGGTAAATAGGTGAGGGCTATTATAATATAAGGATGACCTAGTGTACCCCCTAGCCTAACCCATTGGCCATGGGTGGGGATCCAAACAATAATTTCTACGGGTGGGAACCTAGTTTTCTACATCTGGCCTCCACCCATTCAGGGTAATCTAATTTTAATATCCCCTGCTCCCACCAATGGGCAGTGGGTGGAGCTCTAAATAATCATAGACTAGAGGGGTGGATATGCAATTAGCGGCATGGTGTCCACACAAGCCCCTAGACAAACTATTGAAATTCAGTAACACTACCTTCTCCCTTTACCCTAATAATAGTGAAGGAGACATTAAGACTAATAAATGTAAAATAAAATAAAATAAAATGTTTTACTTACCATCACAAGTCTTCTTTCTTCTATTTTTTTTAAAATTCTTTATTTTTCACTCGATAGGCACTGCAAGTAGACAGCAACTTTTGGCTTGCGCAGAGGCCTGAGTATTTTCTTTCCAACATAATGCAATTCAAGAAAATATAAACAAGCCAGCACCTTTAGCCTTCTAGACTTGCCGCCCACCAAGGGTTTTTACGATAAGCGACTTGATGGAGCCCTTACTTATTAAAGACCACATTTTCTCATAGGTTTCCCTGTTCCTCCAGCTGTTGCAACATGCCTGGTAAAGGATAAAAACATCATTCCCTTGAAAACCAAGGGAAGAGAGAGACAAAACGAGAAGGAAGAATGAAAGATATTAAGAGAATGTAAAGAGAAAGACTTATCGTCTGAGGAGGATGGAAAAGGAAAAAGAAAAGGAAAGAAAAGAAAAAGGGGGAGAGAGAAGGGGGCATCAGGCATTTCCTCCGTGGGGGGGCATTCAATGAATCGTCCGGGTCAGCTCTCGTACTGGACCCTGTCAGTCTCTCCTTGATCCCACTAAGCTATTGTCCCATAGCTCCCAGAGTCTCTGAAATGCCGTTGTCGTCCCCTTTATCCTTGCTGTTAGATCGTCCATAATTCTACATTCTCTTATCCTAGATATCACCCCCGGAAACTCTGGGCCCTCTAGCGATAGCCACGCAGTCGCTAGTGTTCGGAGTGCACTCAGGGTTATCTTATGTGCTAGTTTCTGTTCTATCTTGGTCCACCCATCTAAAGATCTGTTTAACAGATATATCCACGGGTCCATATCTAGGGGCCTGTCGAAATTCTGCTTCAGCAAGTCCTCCACCGACTTCCAAAAACTGCGTATCTTCGGGCATTCCCACCACATGTGAATGTATGTTCCTTGGGCTCCGCAACCTCTCCAGCAGCTGTCTGTATCAATTTTGTGCATTTTGTATAGATTTACTGGTGTAGTATACCATCTGAGCATAGTTTTCCACGTTTGTTCTTGAAGTGTGACACATATCGAAGCGTTTTTGTTCGCTTCCCAGATCTCTTGCCATTCAATTCCTTCCAATACTTCCCCTAGGTCCGCCTCCCATTGTTCGGTGTATGTCAGTCTTCCCCATTCTTTATTTTCCGTACGGAGATGAGTATAAAGGAGCGTGATCATACCCTTAGGGGCCACTCATTCCGAGCATATTCTCTCGTAGAAAGTCAGCCGTCTCTGGGCTGCTGCTCTTATTTGTGGTCTTCTAGCGAAATCTCGTATCTGAATATATCTAAAAAAATCTGTAGGGGATAGGTGGTGGTTTTGTTGGAGTTCTTTGAATTTAATAAATTCACCGTTATGATATAACTGGTGTATCCGTTGTAGTCCGGTCCTTTCTATGTTCCTAAACTCTCTGGGGGCCATTCCAGGTATAAACTCTTGGTTTCTAAGTATTGGAGTTAGAGGGGAAGGGGACGATTTCAGTCCATACTTGGTATTATTTGCATCCCATAGTTGGAGCGAGTTGAGTATGGGGGGGCAAGTTACGCGTATCATAGATCTGATTCCTTAGGGACGCACATTGTGAACTGGGGGATATCCGACCCCACCAGCATAGACTCTATTTCCACCCACCTTCTTTCTTCCGGTGGAGAGTGCCACATGGCCACCTGCGTCAGTTGGGCCGCAAGATAGTAAGAATACAAGCTCGGCAGACCCAATCCCCCTCTGTTTTTCCGTCTATATAAAATGTGCCTTGAGATTCTGTGCCTCTTGTTCTGCCAGACGAAATCTCCTATTGCTCTTTGTAATGGTATCAGTTGCGTTTTCGTGACTCGGATGGGTAATGCTTGAAATAGAAATAAGATTTGTGGAAGGGTATTCATTTTTACCAAGTTGATTCGTCCTATCCAAGAGATAGGTTTATCTGTCCACTTTTCTAAGTCTCCTATTAAGGCCCTATTCATGGGTCCGTAGTTGGCCGAATATAGGCATCCCGGGTCAGCTGTTACATGAATGCCTAAGTATTACAGGGAGTTTGTTTCCAACCGAATTTGAAAGGTCTCCCGAATTTGTTTCGCATCAGCTTCCGTTAAGCCGACTGATATCGCGCTGGACTTCTAAATGTTTGCTTTGTATCCGGACACATCCCCGTATTTCTTAATCACTTCTTGCAGTGTTGACATACATTCCTGCGGGTTCGTAATGGTTAGGAGGACATCTTCAGGGTAGGCTGAAACTGTAAATTCTCTATTACCTACCCTAACTCCTCTGATGTTCGGATGCCGGCGGATCGCTTGTAGAAAAGGCTCCAAAGCTAACACGAAAAGGAGGGGGGACAATGGGCACCCCTGTCTGGTTCCGTTATATAGCCTGAAGGGCTTCAGTGGAGCACCCGTTATTTGTACTTGTGCCCGCACATTATGATACAACACTCTTGTGATCGTTACATATTCCTCTGGGAAACCCAGGTGTCTCAGCACCAAAAACAGGAACTGCCCTCTGACCATATCAAAGGCCTTCTCTGCATCGATGGACACCACCAGGGTAGGCACCCTGGTGGCCGCTTGTTTCCAGATCAGGTCTATATTCCTCCTGGTGTACTCGAATAATTGCCTGCCTTGAATAAATCCAACCTGGTCCGCATGTATGAGCGAATTCAGCAACGGGTTCAATCTACCTGCTTGTATCCTCGCTAGGATCTTCAGGTCGTGGTTGATTAACGATATGGGCCTGTAGTTTTCTGGCCGGAGTGGGTCTTTTTCGGGTTTTGGTAGTAGCACAATCATGGCCAGGGCCATATCAGGGTCCAGGTGTCTTCCCTGCCGCAGTTGGTCAAAAAGTTTTATCAGATGAGGCGTAAGCTCCTGAAGGTCTTGTAATAAGTGCCGTTGAATCTGTCCAGCACCGGTGCCTTGTTACCTTTCAAACTCGGTAGGGCTCTGTCCACCTCCTCCTCGTTGATATCCGCCGCTAGTTTACTTATCGCTTCTCCATTCAATCTGGTCATCCCTAAGCCATCTAGGTATTTGAGGATGTGTTCTTCCTCTTGCTCGTCAAGGGCGTTATGGTCCGGCATGTGGTGGTACAACCGTTTATAAAAATCTTCAAAAATGTTTGCGATTTCAGATGGCTTAGATTTTGATGTGCCGTCCGGATGTCTGATGGCCGTGATGTGAGACAGTTCCTGTCTGGGTCGTAACGTCCTGGTCAGAAGTGTATTCGTTTTATTGGCCTTTTCAAAATACATTAGTTTTGACCAAACCATGGATCTAGCTGTATCATCCAGTAATAACTTACAAATGTTTCTTCTCACTGCTTCCAGCTGCCTGTACGTCTCCTCATCTGGGACCGTTTGATGTTTTTGTTCGAGGGTACTCAGTTGTCCCAGTAGGGTCTCTAGCTTTTGATGTTTAATTTTTTTCTTTCTGGTGGCTAATTTCATGAGGGTTCCCCTTACCACCACCTTATGCGCTGCCCAAATTGTGCTGGCACTCACGTCTGGGGTATCATTTGTGTAGAAGTAGTCTATGATGTCCCCACGAATCTGCTCTTTTATCTCTGGGTCCCGTAACAATGACGTGTTTAGTTTCCACGTCCATGGTGATGTGACACACAGGTTGCCCAGTGTGATGGAGACATCAGCATGGTCTGACCAAGAGATAGCCCACCGTCGACCCCACTATTCGGGACATGACCGTTGCGTTGGTCAGGAACAGATCAATCTGGGAGTACGTTCCGTGGGGAGCAGAGTAAAATGAAAAATCCTTGTCACCCGGGTGTTGAGCTCGCCACACATCCACTAATCCTGTATCCTTTATGAATTTTTTGAGCAATCGGTCCTGTCCACCTCTCCCTTGGGATCTTGGGACTGTTTTTCCTTTGATGTCCTGTCTACAGCTGGGCACGGGGTCGCATTAAAGTCACCCCCCATGAACTTCAGTCCACGTGGAAGCGCTGAGATTGTATCTCGGAGCCTGTTCCAAAAATCGGGATCCGGTTGGTTCGGTGCGTAAATATTTATCAGATGAATGGTATGTGAGTGTAAGGAGCCGGAGACGATAACGTAGCGGCCTTCCGGATCCGCCTCTTGAGTTGTCATCCGAAAGGGGAAGGTTCTCCTAATGAGGATAGCCACCCCATTGCGTTTACAATGAGATCTGGCTTCATATGATCCCGCATAAGCATGGTCTCTCAACCTAAACGTGGCTTGTTTAGGCAGATGGGTCTCTTGGATGAATGCTATGTCCGATTTCATCCTCTTTAATTCTTTGAACATGAGACGGCGCTTCTTATGGGCGTTCAGGCCCTTAACATTCAATGTGGTAATCTTAACCTCCATCTTGTGTCATGTTTGTCTCTGCCATATGGACTGAGTCCACTGCGGTTTCGTACCTCGCCTTGCAGTAGTCCCGGGTAATACTCCTGTGCCACTCCCAAAACCCGCCCCTCCAACCCCCAAAGAAGGACAAAAGAGAAAGAGGAAAGGAGAAGGAGAAGAACAAGAACGAAGAGTAGTAGCACCTTGATTCCGTCCGATGCAAAGATACTCTGGTCTGTTCCCACATCCCTTCCACGATCAACGTTGGGAGGAACATAGGATCTCTGAGCCCCGTCACATACGCGCCCTTCCTACCAAGAAGTGACCTTTGAGTCCTACAGATTACGTTATTGAATCCCTCACCGAGTATCCCTTCTGTCTCTCCCCTTCAATGTTATTTCTGTGACTTATGAGGGCCTTATGGTTTGTGAATCTGCCCTACGTGTACTTCATTATCCGGTGGGGAGCCAAACTCCCCCCCCCCCCCCGGCCACCACCGGTGTCCCCCTATCTGTTGTGTTTCTGGTCATCACCCCCTCGCCTTTACAGAAAAAAACAGGTAGCATTTGAGATCGGGGGTCATTTCCTGGGGACTCCCCGTTGCATCCCTGCCCCCTATGCCACTAATACACCCCAAACCCCATAAGCTCACCACAAATATCTAAGTTAGGGAAGCCTTTAGAGTGTATGCGGACTAGGTAGAGTCTCTTTCGAGAGTGGACACTGGCACTATGCGCTCTCTCTGATGTTTAAGGCTGTTACCGGGTTTGTGTGTCTGTCATTGTGCTACATCACATATCGGTTCCTGCTTCATAGCGTGAGTACCTTTTATTAGGGGGGTTGAGCGTCTATACAAAGGAAGGGTAGCCCAGGTGCACTTGGGCAGGGAGCGTGACCTATAGGGGGAAGCATCTGTTCATCACTGAGGCTCCCTCTTTGTATAGCGAGAATGTGCCCCTTTACAGCCATCCCCGCTTGTCAGCCATAGCTACACTCCCGCTCTCATTCCCAAGACAACGTAATCATTTCGGTCAGGAAAGAACATTGAATACAAACACTTTATGCATTTTACATATCTCGTTCCATGCGGCAACCCCCCATCAATTGTCCCCTTATTGCAAGTGGCTTATTAAAACAAAGTTATTCCGAATATAAATAAATGTAACCAGTTTAGCTTCAGGGTATGTTACCTCTGATGTAGAAACCTTAAAGGGACACTATAGTCACCTGAACAACTTTAGCTTAATGAAGCAGTTTTGGTGTATAGAACATGCCCCTGCAGCATCACTGCTCAATCCTCTGCCATTAAGGAGTTTATTTGTTTATGAACCCTAGTCACACCTCCCTGCATGTGACTTGCACAGCCTTCCATAAACACTTCCTGTAAAGAGAGCCCTATTTAGGCTTTTTTATTGCAAGTTCTGTTTAATTAAGATTTTCTTATCCCCTGCAATGTTAATAACTTGTTAGACCATGCAAGAGCCTCCTGTATGTGATAAAAGTTCAATTTAGAGATTGAGATACAATTATTTAAGGTAAATTACATCTGTTTGAAAGTGAAACCAGTTGTTTTTTTTCATGCAGGTTCTGTCAATCAGAGCCAGGGGAGGTGTGACTAGGGCTGCATAAACAGAAACAAAGTGATTTAACTCCTAAATGACAGTGAATTGAGCAGTGAAATTGCAGATGAATGATCTATACACGAAAACTGCTTTATTTAGCTAAAGTAATTTAGGTGACTATAGTGTTCACACGCACATTGACGTTGCCATTACCGTGGGTGGATGTGGGGTTACAAATTGGTGTGGATCCACAACAGCCGGCGTCTTTCAGCATGCACAGGGCCGCCGACCAGCATCTTCACCAATGCCAGAAAGGTAGTTATCCTCCCGGACACCACAAGGTGAGGATGAACATGTGACATTTAGCGGCACACCTCTCTCTGCCAGGTGGACCAAACACCTTACGGAAAGTTCTTACAAAGGTTTTATAGTCATAAACCAGATCTTTGTTTGACTTCCATAAAGGTTTAGACCATTTCAAGGCCTTGTCGGTTAATTGGTGCATAAAGAACCCGACCTTAGACCTTTCAGTGGGAAAAGACTTGGGACACGTTTCAAAGTGAAACTCTATTTTGGTTTATAAACCCTCGACAGGTCTTAGGATCGCCACAGTATCTAGGAGGTGGTGTCAGGTTTGCGGTCATACTGTTCTGACCAGAAGCTTCAGGCACCACAGGCACAGGCTGGGGAGGCATAGGTGGAAGGTTTTCAGGATAGAGGTGGGCTGTTCTGGTTAACGAGGTCTGAAATAGACATGTGCAATTCGTTTCGTTCAGGATGTACGAATTTCCGAATTGCCGAATTTTGGAATTGCCGAAATTCGGAAGTGCTGAACCGAACCGAATTGCCAAATTTCTGAAAAGTGGCAAAACAGGAGGGAGAGGGAAAATTTCGTGACTGATGACAGGAATCTAGACCAATAAGCTTTCATAGCACTGGAAGCCCTATAGATGTGTAATTGGTTGTGGTGGCAGTCCAGCATCTAACCCTACCCCTAACCCTACCCTTACCTCTAACCCTACCCCTAACCCTACCCTTACCTCTAACCCTACCCCTAATCCTAATGCAACCCCTACCCCTGAGAGAATTGGTCCATTCTATGGTCAATTTCCTCAAATTTAGCCTGGCAAGGATTCTGTGGAGCTCCCATTCCTGCAGGGTCCATGGCCCTACCGTAATGTCACAGTAGTAGTACCCCAATGCACAGGAAAGAGGGAACTCACAAAAGGTGGATCCGAAAGGAGCCTTAGAATGGCCAGACTTAACGTAATAATACAACAAGAAACAGGGTCAAGATAAATCAAGGACAGGAATAACAGAAATACTCAGAGTCAAGATAAAGCCGGGGTTAGGATACCAGAAATCACAAATCAAATACGAAGCTGGGGTAAGGATGCCAGAAATCACGAGTCAAATATGAAGCCGTGGTCAGAATGCCAGAATTCATGAGTCAAATACGAAACCGGGGTCAGGATACCAGAAATCAGAAGACAAATACGAAGCCGAGGTCAAACACAGGAAATCACAAGGGAATCACCAGGAGCACTAAACGAGGATCCAGACAGAAACCATGATAGGGCAAAGAATGGAGGCTAAAAAAGCATTAAAAAAGCTCAAAAGAGTTCCCATTGGTCCATGTCATCTCTGCGAGCCCAAAAAGCATTGGGTCACCAAGATGACATGGTCCCTTTAAGGTAATGACGCCATGGCTATTTCTTTTATTTTTAGAGGTTGCAGTTCATCCTGCGAACCAGCAGAGGTAGCCATTCGCGGGACCGAAGGTAAGCATTATATTAAGGCCGCGCTGCCACGTGGAGCATTAGGGTGAGTTCTGCCCGCATGGCCGGAGGAGTGGCATGGGAGCCGGGTAAAGGTAGGTTTGTGACATATACCTAGACTGCACTTGCATAAATATTTGTATAATACGGAGGTAACTGGACTTGTAAACCCAACACAGGTCAATTTATTAGTAACACTATTTGTCTAAAGGTGGAATCGGTGTTAAAGCCATATAGATTAATTCAGGAGGGTCATAGCCCTTAAAATCTGTTACCGACCTCAATGACCCTAATTGTATTGACTTTGAAACATGAAAAGGCTGATTTGATGTTGTCAGAATAATGCTCTGCCAGCATTAATGCTAAAAACATCATTTTGGTACGTAGTCCATAACATCAGGAGTGAATTTGTCTCACC